ATCGATAGATAGATAGATAGATAGACAGATCGATCGATAGATAGATAGATAGATAGATAGATAGATAGATAGATAGATAGATAGATAGATAGATAGACAGACAGACAGATAGCTAGTCAAACTGGTTAACATAACTACACGATGCCGTAAGAGTGTCTTCCTCGGGTAGTTGTTGTATTTTTTCTTTCTTTTCATAACCGTCCTACCTTTAGACCACACGTTTACCCGATCCGTCCCCGGACTAGTAAATCTAATAGAAAACTTGGTAGGCAGGCAGAAATGGCTATCAGTTGCCAGCATCAGGACCGACGTTTTTAAAGAACACCAAAATACAAATATGAGACACAGAACATGAATGTCTATGGTAGAGGTTCTCTAGTAAGCAGCTCAAAGCTAAAAAGCAATGTAAAATGTTCCATAGTTCAGCAAATATGACTCCGGAGAAAGTGTTTAGCAAACCGGTATGGAATTATAATGAAATTGTATTTTTCTTCAACGTCTTTAGCCATTCATTTCTTTTCTTTTTTCCTTTACTCACCAGGCTGAGCTGTGGTCCTTGATGGAGCAGTGGTTTGGACTGTGAAGAGAAGAAGAGCGCATTATGAGTGTTTACTTGGGGAAGAATTCTATTCGTATAGGTCACTTATCGAATCTATTTTGAAATGCAACAGGAATATAAATATTGACCCTCTCCCCACAAAAAAAGAAAACAAAAGAAAACAAAAAAACCGAACGGATATTAGGAACTTTTCTCGCAATGTATAATATCATCTAGATGGTAGACCTCTTCTACACCGGCAGCCAGCGCCAAATCAAGGCGAGTTGGATCCAACATTCCAGTAAACAGATGAAGATACACAACAAGATATCTTACTAGTATCTGCTTAAGAATCGAACGTCAGACGGTAAAGAGCCTAACAATTATAACGCAGACACGCATTAATACTGTTAGGTCATTAATACTTTACAGCTTCTGATCATGAATACAAAACATGAAATCGCGTAACAGTTCGGGTTTTGATTGCAAGTGGATTCCAGAGTATTTAGCTAAGTGTTCATGAAGGACATTATATTATTGACCTAATATGTTACAAAGGAACAAAAACGTTCCTTTTCTTCTTCAAACGTTTTACCTAAAACATATATTGATATAAACACGCCACTTCTCGTTTGCTCCCAGAAGACTTATACAGTAAAGTGGGTTTTACCAAGCCACCAGTCCATCTAAGTTCTCAAGCTGTTCTTTTGTAACGGGTAGGAAAACATGTATAGTTTTCACTGTAGACATATCAATGCATACATAATATACATACATATAATCATTATAGACGTAATACGCCTTCACACGCCTTGTAGATATATAGGTGCATTAAGTAAATGCTTGGTGGAAATGTAATGGATGTGTTTTTGGCTGTTTATGTACGTGGTTTATAATTGTTTTATGACACAGTGCCTAAACATTAGTAATTGGTACGAGTATTTATTAATTATTATTTTTCATTGTGTACTATTCTTTGGTAAGTTATCCTTTACTCACATAAATTATGTCTCTAATGTCTGCTTAATTTAGTTAGATCGCGACTTCAAACAAAACGCAATAAACTACCCACCGGTACAAGCAGCGTCAATGATCTTCTTGCTGAGTCCAGCGAGAGCACTGTAGTCCTGGGGGTTGAACATATGGTCTTTGTCCGGGTCGTCTGCGATGGCCTGCAGTTCTCCGGTGTTTACGTTAGGGCCAACACCCACAGAGATGAGCCCGATGTGATCCCGGCGGGCATTGTTCGCCTCTACTGTCACGTCAGCACTGGGGACAAATCATTGATTGATTGGAACGATGTTGAGTGCTTTTTGCCCACATCTGGCTAACCCAGATTAAGGGGGTTTCCAGAAATCTTGACCTACACCAAAAGTGGGCCTTGCCCTACCTATAGGAGAAGCTTGGTTTCATAGGTGTGTATATTAGTTTGGTTATAGAGAAAACTCTCCTTGTCTTTTAAAGAAAATGGACAAGGATCAAAACTTTGCCTCCGATTCTCTCAAAACAGCATTTTCCGGGATAGCCCCCTTGTGTTTAAAAGCGACCAATTTAGAGAGCACGTCAGGGCTAATCTGGGCTGATTGGGATACATTGTAAGGGCTCACAGACAGACGGAGACACTCCATAAAAATCTGATCTAAAGAAGAATCGAACTCTCTTCTTCTGCATGCAACAGCTACTGAAAACTGTTGACCACGTTTTATGAAACACGAGAAAAAGATTGTAAAGGCAGTTAGAATTGTCGTTCCCTACAATTGAGAAGCGTGACAGAAAATTATAAAATTGTCTGTCAGAAATGAATGCTGGTCTTGAATAAACAAGATAGGTGATGATGAGGTGTTGATGGGAATATAACGTCCAGGATAAGACTGATCCAAACAAGCAGAGAGCTTTGATACCCCCCCCCCCCCCCCCAACCTTCCACCCACCTAAAAAACCCTGCGCGCACATAAAGAGTATTTATACCTTAGACTATTATTATATTAACTTAAATTGTGTACTCTGACGTAATCCCGCCCAGTACACTAATGAGTGCATCAATTTAACAATTATTATTGATTCAGTTGGAGCCAAATGAATGTTAAGGGGACGATAAACGATGCCACACTCACTTTCCTATTGCGGGACTGCTGTTTTGCCCTTTACTTAAAACTTTTTAATGGAGAGCCCATGGAGCTCAAGACGGTGCTCGGTCTAGAATATTACTATATTTCAAACATCCGTCTTATTTACATTGTTTATTGTTGTATTTTTTCTTTCTTTCCTTTGTGCAATGGAAGCATTAAAACTAACATAACTATTTCCTTACACTTTACCACATTAACTACATTGTTGTTATTTGAACTCAACTGCTCCTTGTCTGCCAAAAAGACTTTCTCGACAATGCAAAAGATAAATGAGCATCCATGATAACCTCTTGTTTTCTGTAAAGAATACACCAATAATAGGCTACAAAGTTAGGGTTACAAATTGGGTCTGAAGCTAACTGTAGTCCTTAAAAAAATATAAATCATTAATTAAAGACACACACCTATAATGCGGTCAAAAATTCGTTGCGCAGATTATCCCCAAATATCTCTTTAACGGGTGAATCAATGTCATCCATACTTTGCACAGCAGTTTGTTTCAATTTGTCTTAACTAACAACTTTTCTTCATAAATTTATATAAAATACTTGAAATCTCTGTAACACGTAAAAAGGTATTGTTCACAGCACTTCCCGCTTCTCACACACACATTTCGATTGCTTATATGGCCTACGTCAAAGCTCGTCAATGACACTTTGTACTTGCAAAACTTGTTACAAGAAATTCTTTTTATACTGAACACAGTTTTTGCACGAATGCTTCTCAAAACATGCGTTCAATAAGCATAATGTCCCGATTAGAAAGACATAACGGACTTGTTATTAACAGCAATATTGCCCCAGCTGTAAACATTTAAAAATCTGTAGCAACCACGCACTTGGATTTTTTTATAGTATTAAATGTAAAGAATTTTCTAGAATACAGCTAGCAGGCGTTTACAAAAATATTGATCTGCTAAGACAAATAATTATTGATACAGGCCATTGTGCAAAAATTGGAGAACTTATGTTCAATAGATGAGGAGAGATTTGACAATAAGTCGCGCCACGAATTTTTGACCGCACTATAGCGGATTACTTCTGGACAGAGTTGCTCTTTGATAGCAAACAGTAACATACCACCACCACTACTACTACTACTACTACTACTACTACTACTACTACTACTACTACTACTACTACTACTACTACTACTACTACTACTACTACTACTACTACTACTACCACTACTACTACTACTACTACTACTACTACTACTACTAAAGATAATAATAATAATATTAATAATTATAATGATTATAATGATAGTAAGAGTAATAATAATAATGATAATAATAATAATAATAATAATAATGATAATAATAATAATAATAATAATAATAATAATAATAATAATAATAATAATAATAATATTGATAAAATATTGCTCTTATTCAGCGCCTGTCCGAACAAGTAAGTAGGTCCCATGCCCTACAGTTCGGCACTTTAAATGAGGAAAGTAAGATGGAAGAGCTCGGGAAAAAATATTGTTTAGTGAATAAAAATACAATTGTAATGATTCAAATTATGCATTGGATACTCACGTGTGTTCTGTGCATGGTTAAGTCCTAATAACAGTGTGGTCAAACACGCCAGAAGCAGCTGGCGATCCATGGTGACCACTTTCCTTCACTAAAGATCACTTTGATGCTGCTGTCTGGTAAGACGTACAATTTATAATGTGCGAGACTGCACCCTTTGTCCGTTTGTTCTTGATAAAAATCACGTGACTAGCTACCGGAAACTGTGTTAGGTAATATCTTTGGTAATCGCGGGAACGGCAGAGAATGAAATTTGGAAGTTCTAAATGGATCTCATTGGCTCACATTGTGATGAATACATAATGTGTATTCTGCAGAAAATTCTTAGGATGTTTCATAACGATTGAAACTATTTTGTAATCTACAATTATGAATGAAGAAGTTTGTTTACCCAAAATGTAGAGCTACTTTTGATGATTAGTCTATATACATAATAACATACATATTACAACCGGGAATCTTGCTCTGTAGAAAATTATGAAAACGTATAAGTTTAAGTGCTTAACTTTCCTAGGGATGGAGGCTCATGCGGGCTCAAATTAACTTCTTAGGTTAGTTACATCCAATTCACCATCTCAGCATCCCCCCCTCCTCTCTCTCTCTCTCTCTCTCTCTCTCTCTCTCTCTCTCTCTCTCTTTATCTCTCTTTATGCTTGAGGGAAAGCGTTGTAGCCTATTATGTGCAAACTGCTGTCGTCCAAATGTTAACGGTCTACTTATTGACCACTTGCAGAAGGACGAACTGTCGAAAACAGAGTAAAGTAAATTCCATGAGGCCACATGTTCTGTTCTTCCGGGCTAAGCCAGGAAACGAACCAGTCCTACGCCTCACTGCTTGACAAGAACTTCGGTGATGTTCTGATCTCCGTTGTCATCATTATTATTTTGTTCTTTATGTATTATATATATATATTATGTGAAACTGCTGTATAGTCATTTTTCATACAAAGATTGTTTTTCTGTGACTTTGTGATTTGTCTCTAAAAAAGCTGCCAAAAAGGTTTGTGCTCTGTTTCTGTTTGTTGTTTAGCCATGTGACCAGTTCATTTGCTTGATCTTTATTGACCATATTTTTCGACAGTACTGTTTATTATATGTGAATGGAACGTAAATTAATCTCTCCACCTTCTGCACACCCTCCTCCAAAATAAAAAAAATCTCCCACCTATCCTTTACCATACATAAATTACTAGATCTATACAAAGAAATGACAGAGTATCGTTATTTCTCCAAAGGTCACTTGCTTAGACGAACAGGATGTGCTGGACTTAGGTAATCTTGACCATTCCTCTCTATCTGTGAGAACTTGACCACACTGTAGAATGCCAGAGCCGGAGGAGAGATAAGAAACCACTCCTGGTAGAAACTTTATGAATGGGCTGAGATTAAGTCTCATCCGTTGTCTTTAAAAAGCTCGACATTTCCTCTGTACATTTCTCCCTTCTGTTCCTTGTGTTGTTGCCGCTTCCTCGCTCTTTGATCTCCAACATGTTCATCTTTACATGTTTATCAATATTCTTTCCGTTTCAAAATTTATAACGTACTATTTGCAGTCAGATTCGGTTAATTTAAATTTACTCTGTATGCCCATGAGTCGGATTTCTATTCGCAGTAACGTTAAAAAAAAAAAGTTGATTGTACTTTTTATCAGTTGCTGCGGTTGATTGACTCACAGTCTACTGTGCATGTGGTTGTTCTAGGTCCTAGGCCTACAGTAATGATTATCCTCGTTCGGGTTCTAAATCAATCGATGGTGCTTTCGTTTTATGGCTACAGTAGTGTTTTGATTAAGCTCTTCGCCGTTGCACGCAGGAGTCGAGATTTTGATTCCCCTAAAGGGAATTCTTTTCAATCAAGTTTATTCTGTCTGTCTAATGGGAAGCCGAATTCCACCTGGCTTGGGTTGGCCCTAACACCGACATCCGAAAAGATATAAATTATTATGTCGATGGCAGCATAATAATGATCCGATTTAAAAAACACTGTTATCGTCTTATCTGTCAGTGAAGTCTTTACAATCATTGTTGCTGCTGTTTACAGTTGTAGGCTACTGCTGTTGTTTTCCTCCCTGTCTCTCTGTCTCTGACTGCCTCTATCTCTGTCGCTATCTCTGTATCTGTCTCTGTTTCTCTCCAAGTCTCTCTCCCTTTCGCTCCCTCCCTCCTTCCCTCCTTCCTCCCTCCCTGTCTGTTTGTACGTAACTCTGCACCTCCCCCCCCTCTGCCCCCCTCTGCCCCCCCCCTCTCTCTCTCTCTCTCTCTCTCTCTCTCTCTCTCTCTCTCTCTCTCTCTCTCTCTCTTCCATTCCATCCCACTCCCTCCACCCTCTCTTTCTCTCTCTCTCTCTCTGTCTTCTTAATTTATGGTTGAAGAAAGTTCCATTGCTTTTTGAATTTTGTTTTACGTTCAAATTTCCATCTCAATAGGTGTATTTAGTACCCTTTTAGCTTACTCTCCGTGCTTTTAAGAATATGAGTATATTTCATTAGAATGATTCTCAACTTAGTTGTGCCGCATCGGTAGTCCAGTAGTTGGGCTACCGAACTTGTAATCCGTGGGAGGGGCACTTTATACGACTTCCCCCATTTGGCTCGGTACTCGGTCCAATCGGAGATGGACATGAAACTCGGAAGCCCTACCTCTTGTTACCTTACAGTGTTGGAAGGGACGTTAAACATATGCAGTTTTTCAGTTTTAAACTCTAACATTAGATGTTTCTTTCTTATTAGATTTCTTTATTAAGGAGGATTTATTTAGGAAAACCCCGAAAAGATCTGAGTTTCACTATACGACTACCTTAACGTATACTGTGAAAAAGTCTTGTGTATTATTACTTCGACGCAGTCTCTGGGCAAAAATGTTGTTTTCGTTCTGTAGAGTCTCATCTTTTCACTCTTAGTTTTTCAGAGACTTATTTTAAGTACGTAATTTTTGGTTGATTTGAAAAAGAGATGTTAAGCAATGCAAACTTGAAATTCGTACGGATGTGAATGCCGCTCAACAAACGACACATTTCCTTTTTCTTCCACCCTTTGCTTATTGGTGTTTTGTTTTGTTTTTATTTTTGTTTTGTTTTGTTTTCAATTTCCCAATACTTAGCTAGGTACTGGCACAGGTCGTTGAAGAAAGCAAATTCACGTCACTGCAGTCCACCGATATCAAATATCTTGTAGGGGAGGTAACATGCCACGCCTCCAATATTGTCAAGGTTTATTAATAGTAAACTCCCCTAAGGAGCGTTTGGATTTTGTGAACTGGCTCATCATAGTCGCGAAAGAGAGGTGGGATAATATATTTACGTATGACGTGTAGGCGAATAACTTAAGCTGTGCATTTCGCTCCGGGGATTGAAAAAAATTGCAACAAAGATGATTTTGGCGTCATTACGTGTAGAACCATTTGAAGATGTCTCAATTCAAAGAATAATCCTTTACTGTATTATACACCTCCCCTACCCCATCCTCTCTCTCTCTCTCTCTCTCTCTCTCTCTC